AGCGGCGGGGGTGAGGTTCAGAATTCGTCGAGCACGTGGCGAATTCCGAGTCCCAACCCCTCCCTCCCATCGATCCGGGAGGAGCGATGGTTGGTGGGCGGTTGGGTTCGGATGTCGCCACCTGAGCGTGCCCCAGACGCGCTTAGCCTTAACTCGGGCTTGTCCCTCTACAGTGGTAGACTCTACAGGGGGAATATTCCCAAATAGTCAAAAAAATACTCCAGGGACGATTCTAGGAGCATTGTTCGATTTTGAGTATGTTTGGGATACTTTTTACTTTTTTTGGTCCAACATCCGCCTGTAGGAGGACACGCCCGACCTAAGCCTAAGCGTGCCCCAGAGGCGGAGGCAGCCGGGCGGCAGCCGTCGGCGGCGGGGGGCGGACGCTGGCGGTAGCGGTGGGCGGCCATGAGAACGCTCAAGTCGAAGCTCTGGCAACGTCGCCATCCTACGGTAGGTTTGCATCGTGTCGACCAGCGGCGACCCCAGCGGGGGCGTTCAAGGTTGAACGCCGCCGGCGACCCAGAATCGATCGATGTTGAACGATCGGACGTTGCGGCAGCGGCCGATCGTTCAAGGTTGAACGATCCCTGCGGTGTCAAACACCAACGCTGGGGTCGGCACGACACGAACCTGCCGTACACCTTAGGCGATGCTTAAGAAAACCTAAGTTTTCGTCCAGAGTCTCGATTATTCTTAACTTTTCAATGTGAATCCCAAGATTTTGATAGAAGTTCTGGGTTTTATTCAAGTTCTGAGACTATGAATTTCTTAACCCATGATCTCTTAAGCATTTCGCAGGGTGTACCTCTTCGAGTTTCCCGGCATGGCCACCCCCCGCTCTCCGGCTGCCCCGGGGAGCCGCGGGACGGCGAGAGAGAGTCCGCGCTCCGCGAGAGACAGTCCGGCCGGGCGAAAGGGGGGGATTGGGAAAGGGGGGGTTACGAAATTTGCTGCATGCAGCTGGTTTCGGCCCCACCGAGGGGCCCATTCTTCGATACATGGGCGCCTCCTGGCGCCGGGAGGCGCCAGGAAAATCAGCTACGTGAGCTGATTCTCAAACCCCCCCTTTGCTATCCCCCCCTTTCGCCCGACCCGAGACAGGAGCGCCGACCCGCGGCGCCACGCCCAGTCCGCGGCCAAGGCCGGGAGGCGGCGCGCCGCCGCCCCGCGGCCAGGATCGGGTTGACCCAGAAGGGGGGTCCAGCGACGGAGCCATTTGGGGCGCCGAGTGGGCCCAGAGTGTGCCTCTTCGTCGACGACGTCGTCGACGTCGTCGTCGTCGAGGTCGTGGTCGAATAATCATTTCCAGAGAATGATGATTGTTGATCTCTGGAAACGGTTCCGCGCGCTCTCGCCTCGAAGGGGGTGGTGCCATAGATTTGGTGCGATAGATTTGTGGGGTTGCAACATTGCTGAATCCATCGTGTGCGCTCCCTTCTTCTCCAACAAAAAAAGATCTGTGGGGTTGCAACACCTTTGGGGCGTGCAACACATAGCGGGGCGCAAACGTATTGCTGGGTTCTCGCGTGCACCACACTACTGGCAATGCAATGCAATGCAGTTCTCTGGCGCAGCACATTTGCAATACGATTATTCCAAATCTATTGCACCGCCCCCTTTCAGCTGGACCCCATTTTGGGTCGCAAGGACAGGAGGGGGGCACAATCGGAAGGGGCACGGGAAGGAAGGGAGACAAGCACTGACATCCAGGCCTCCTGAATGTGGTCGGATCAGATGTGGTCGGAGGATCGCGCCACGTCGCCGACGCATCGCCGATGCGGCTCGATGTGGTGCCCGATTTGCTTCACGTCGATGTCGCCGACACATCGCCGATGTCGACGATGCATCGCTGGTGCATCGCCGATACATCGCCGATGTATCGGCGATGCGGCGCGATCTTCCGACCCCATCTACTCCGACCCCATGTAGGAGGCCTCTATGACAGCAGTTCCTGTCCATTTTGAAGCGAGCTCGCGGTCGGTATCGCCGCGGACGTTGCACGTTTGAGGCAGAAGTTGGGGACACTGCTGGGGCGCAGCGAGCGCAGGCAAACGTGCGGGCCCGGTGCCGGGAAACGAGGGGCCACCCACAACCAGCCCCCGCCCACGACGAGGACCCCTGCTCGGCAGGTCAGGCGGGGGAGCTGGATCTGCATTCCCCTCCTCTCCATCATTCCTTCTCCATCCTCGTTCCTCTCCTCTGCCTTCCTCCGTGCCCCCCCCTCCCCCTCCCCCTCCTCTCCGCCCCATCCTTTCTTCTCCGTCCCGTCTCCCTGCGTATCGTACCTGATCCTTCCCTCCCTCGCTCTTCCACCATCCTTCATCACCTCCCCCTCCCCCTTCGTCAGACGAGGAAGCAGGGAGGGAGTGATGAAACAGGGAAGTTTTGAAGGGATAGTTAATTGACTCGTCCGAGGCAGCAGCAGCGATGCGCCGTCGAGGAGACGGAGTCGGACGAAGACGCGATCGAGGAGAGCCGCCACTCCTGCTTCTCGTGTGGCTCCTGTGTCGCACCGCGTCGTGCTCCCCTTCGGCCCCGTCTCCTGATCCCCCTCCATGTCCCGCCCTCCTGCTCCGTCGCTTCGCCATCCCCCCCCCTCCAGGGCTCGTTTCGATTCCTCCGATTCGATTCGATTCGATTTCGATGGTTTCCGATTCCGATTCGATTCGACCTGGGATTCCCATTTGAGTTCCGATTTCTTCTTGGAGGCATACTAGCCTGCCGATTTCTGCCGATCCGACTTTTCCCGACTCGGCTGCCGATTTCCGACGATCCGACTCGTGTCGATCGCCGATCCGACTTGTCGATCCGATCCTGGGCTCTCCTTGTCCCGCCCTCCTTGTCCTCGATCGATCGCCGATCCTTGTCCCGCCCTCCTTCCACATCCCCCCCTCCTCCTCCTCCTCCTCCTCCTCCTCCTCCTCCTCCTCCTCCTCCTCCTCCTCCTCCTCCTCCTCCTCCTCCTCCTCCTTCCACATCCCCCCCCTCCTTCCACATCCCCCTCCTTCCACATCCCTTGTCCTCCCTCCTCCGTCTTCAGATCCCGTCCCCAGGCCGTGCTTGCACTGCGGGGTTTTTGCGCGTGCCTCCGTGAGGGATCGAAAGGGCTAGGAGTGGGGGGAGGAGGAGGAGGAGGAGGAGGAGGAGGAGGAGGAGGAGGAGGAGGAGGAGGAGGAGGAGAGAGGAGCAGGAGGAGGAGGGGAGGAGGAGGAGGAGGAGGAGGAGGAGGAGGAGTACTTGTTTGTGTGTCCCAGGGCCCCTGCAGCTCGGCGCCTCGCGAGCGCCCGACGTGCGTTGGGTGTGCGTGTTGGGGGTTGGTGCCTGGTTCGCGGGGGAACCAAACGCAGACGCAATCCATCGCCGATGCCCCCGAAACCCTGGGAAGCTATGGAAAGCGGGGGGGAGACAGCCGCCCCGCACATGTGGGACGATGTGGGGAGTCCTTGTATTCGTGTCTATTGGAGAGGCCTGACGGCCGGTGCCGCCGACCCGGATCGAAAGGGCTAGGAGTGGGGGGAGGAAGCGGAGGAGGAGGAGGGAGGAGGAGGAGGAGGAGGAGCAGGAGGGGGGAGGAGGAGGAGGAGGAGGAGAGAGGAGGAGGGGGGCGGAGGAGGAGGAGTACTTGTTTGTGTGTCCCAGGGCCCCTCCAGCTCGGCGCCCGCCCGCGGGGGCGCCGCGCGGGCGACCCGTGCGCGGCGTGGGGCGCACAGGGCCGCTCGGTGCCTGCCCGTGGCCCCCCGCGGGCGCCGCGCGGGCGCGCGCGCCGCACGGGAGGCCGCCTCCCCGTGGCCCGCACCGCGTGGCCCGCGGCACGCGGCTTGGGCCACCCAGGAGGAGCCTGTCTTCCACCACCACCATGAGATGGAGGGGAGAAGGATGAGGAGGAGGGCGAGGAGGAGGAGGATGAGGCGGAGGAGGAGGATGAGGCGGAGGAGGATGAGGCGCAGGAGGAGGAGGATGAGGCGAGGCGGAGGAGGAGGGCGAGGAGGAGGAGGGCGAGGAGGAGGAGGAGGAGGAGGAGGAGGAGAAGGAGGAGGAGGACCCCCCCTCCAACTTATGGTGGTGGTGGTGGTGGTGGTGGAAAACACGCCTATCAACCCGGCTGCCTGCGACAATCCCCACCGCCGCGCCTGGGCAGCACGCCTTGGCATCGCTCGGGCATCATTGCTTCGGCGAGGACCATCGAGGGCCATCCTGGACCATCGAGCAAAAAACCCACGCACGAAACCGAAACATGCACTGGAAATGGACGTCCGAGCGACGAACGAAATGGGTACGGAAAGAATGGGTACAATGCCCAACAGCAGTTCCTGATCATTTTGAACAGGACTCGCTGTCCGCGCCGCCGCGGCCTGTGTCTGACAGAAGGCCGCCTGCCCAACAGCGGCCGCTGTTGGTTTGGGACAATGTGTTGTTGGGCATTGTACCCATTCTTTCCGTACGCATTTCGGGCGTTCAAATAGGAAGGAGGCTGAGTGCAGGAGCAGTTCAGTTCCTACGAGCGACCTGAATCGGGACGGGTCATGAGCTCAGCCTCGGTTTCGTCCGCGCGACAGGAAGGAGCAGGAGGAGGAGGAGGAGGAGGAGGAGGAGAAGGGAAAGGGGAGGGAGAGAATAACGACAAGGAGGAGCATGCCTCTCAGGGGCTCTCTGCACCCCCCCAACACCGAGCGAGAACGGCGGACGACGACCACCACGAGCAAGGGGCACCAGCTGGCGACCGGGGGGGAGAGGAGCGAGAGAGGCCACGGAGGAGGAGGAGATGGAGGAGGAGGAGGAGGAGCGCAAGGAGGAGGAGGAGGAGGAGGAGGAGGAGGAGGAGGAGGAGGAGGAGAGGCCACGGAGCAGGAGGAGCGCCACCGGAGAGCAGCGGAGAGAAAGGACGGCAAGGGAGCGCAGGCGCGCCGGGAGCAGCGAGGGGGGCGCTGGCCTCATTCAGGAGGGAAAGAAACACACAGACACAATTAATCGTCGACTCCCAGGAAAATATGCAAAAATATGGGAAGTGGTGGGGAAGACAAAAACCCAGAAAATATGGGGAAATATGGGGGATGTTTTTATTTGTGTGTATTTATTTGTGTGTTCCAGTTCCCCTTCACTCATCGCCCCTCGAAGAGCGAGAGGGCGCGAGGGGCAGCCATCGAGTGAACGTTCCCAGCGCCGAAGGAAGGGGCAAGAGCAGGAGGGGGGGAGGGCACTTTCCCCGCCCAGACCCCCGTCCACGATTCTTCCTCGGGGCTGTGCAGTCGTCTGGCAGGGTCCGGGGGCCTCGAGATCGTGTGGCGGTGCTCTGACCTGCGCTCACATCCGGCCCAGGCTTATCGGGATCGGCTCTACTCACACTCAAAGTGCCTTGAGATCGTATGGCGGTTCTCTCACCTGCGCTCAGGTTCGGCCTAGGCTAATCGGGACCAGCTCTGCTCACACCCGCTTCTTCCTGTCGCGCAGCATCTCCTCTGACGAGCTCGGGATGCAGCTCTCTCTCTCTCCCGTGCTCCGTGGCGGCGGCCCTGGCGCTTCGGAGTGTTGCCCCTCGCGACGTACAGGCATGTCGGGATTGCGCTCGCTGGCCGCATCTCAACGGGGGGGGGGGAATAACCACCGGGACCCGACAATTGGCGTTGACTGGATGTCCCTGGGCGTTGACTCAACAGCCCTGCCCTCTTCGGTTCCTCCTGTGGGTGCGGTTGCTACACGGCTTCGCGTGCCGGGGTGATCCTTATGGGGGTGGATTTTCGGCCGTCTCGCATCATCCCATAGATCTGGGCCCATGCGTTGATCATGAACGCGTGGAGGAAGAGGACGATGAGGAGGAGGAGGAGGAGGAGGAGGAGGAGGAGGAGGAGCCGGAGGAGGAGGAGGAGCCGGAGGAGGAGCCGGAGGAGGAGCCGGAGGAGGAGCCGGAGGAGGAGCCGGAGGAGGAGGAGGAGGAGGAGGAGGAGGAGGAGAAGGAGGAGGGGAGGAGGAGGAGGGAGGAGGAGGAGGAGGAGGAGGAGGGAGGAGGAGGAGGAGGGAGAGGAGGAGGAGGGGGAGGGGGAGGGGGAGGGCGGGAGGGGGAGGGGAGGGGAGGTGAGTGGGAGGGGGAGGAGGAGGGGGGGGTGAGGGGAGGGGAGGGGAGGGGGAGGGGAGGAGGCACGAGGAGGAGGGAGGAGGAAGGAGGAGGAGGAGGAGGGAGGCTTACGAGGTACAGACGGCCCCTCCTCGATCGCGCTGCCTGGCGGCGGAGAACCGCCGGGGAGGGGGCCCGGCAGCGTCGGGTGACGAGCTCCGGTGTTCTCGGCGCCGATCACCTTGAGGAGGGAATAGCAGGAGGAGGAGGAGGAGGAGGAGGAGGAGGAGGAGGAGGAGGAGGAGGAGGAGGAGGAGGAGGAGGAGGGGGAGGAGGAGGAGGGAGGAGGAGGAATTTGGGAAAAAAGGAGGAGGAGGAGGAGGAGGAGGATGGAGGAGGAGGAGGGGGAGGTGGACGAGCGTGAGTCGAGGGATCGAAGCCATGGATCGAGGCGGGTGGATCAGCGACGGGTCCTGGTTCTGTCCGAAACCAACGGTCTTCGTCTGAAAATGGTTCGGGGGGGGGGTTTTCCCCGATCCACGGATCTGGCGCCCACGCGCCACATGCACGAGTCCCTGATCCACGTAAGCGTGCGCCGGAGATAGGACTTGGAGGAGGAGGAGAAGGAGGAGGAGGAGGAGAAGGAGGAGGAGGAGGTTTTCGAATCAATACTGTCTGAGTCTGTCCTGGGTTTGGAGACCATGGGGCGCCGAACGTGACTCCAGAGGGTGCACCGAAACGCTGCTCTGGTGGAGCCGCCCGATTGCCATCGTCATGCGGCGGAACGCGGAGCGCGGACGCGGAACGCTATCTTGGTGGAACTTTGGAGGAGCTGGACGAGGGACGAGGGGAAGGAATGAGAAGGAGGCGGAGGAGGATGGGGAGGAAGCCTCCTTCGCGCCCCCACCACAGGGGGAGGAGGCGGAGGAGGAAGAAGGGGAGGAGGAGGAGGAGGAGGAGGAGGAGGACGAGAAGGAGGAGGAGGAGGAGGGGGAGTGGGACGAGGAAGAGGAGAAAGAGGAATGACGAGAAGGAGGGCGAGGAAGCAATGGGTTGAGGGCGCCAGGTGTGCGCGGCACCTGACCAACTCTCGCAGTACCCATTTGTTGTCCTCTTTTTTTGATTCAGTGCCTCGCCGCGACTTTCGTGCTTCGGTGCCGTCGGGGAGAGGGAGGGTGAGGGCGGGTCCGGGGGCGAGGAGGAGAAGGAGAAGCACAAGGAGGAGGAAGAGGAGGAGGAGGAGGAGGAGGAGGAGGAGCCAGGAGGAGGAGGAGGATGGAGGAGGAGCGGAAGGAGATGAGGAGGAGGAGAGGAGGAGGAGGATGAGGAGGGAGGGGACGACAAAAAGGAGGAGAGGGAGGAGGAGAAGGAAGAGGAGGTGGAGGAGGAGGAGGAGGAGGAGGAGGGGTACGACAAAAGGAGGAGGATGAGGAGGACGAGGAGGAGGGTACGACAAGAAAGATGAGGAGGCAGAGGGGGGAGGAGGAGGAGGAGGAGGAGGGGAGGAGGAGGAGGAGGAGGAGGAGGAGGAAGGAGGAGGAGGAGGGGGAGGAGGAGGAGGAGGAGGAGGAGGAGCACCTCGCCCTCGCACGCCTGCCAGGAGCTCGCGAAGCGCCGGCGCGTCCAGCGCCAGCCGGAGGCCGCCGCCGTGCGGGTCGCGAGCGGGCCGCCCGGGAGCGACGCGATCTGCTGGCACTTCGCGGGCAGAGGCCGGCGGCGGCGCGAGCAGCTGCCCCCTTTCCCCCTCCCCCCCCTCCCCCCCCCCCCCCTCATCCCCCTCCTCCTCCTCCTCCTCCTCTTCCTTCCTCCTCCTCCTCCTCTCCTCTCCTCCTCCTCCTCCTCCTCCTCCCACTCCTCGTCTCCTCCTCCTCCGCCTCCTCCTCGTCTCACATCCTCCTCCTCCTCATCCTCCCTCCCCTCTTCCTCCTCATCCTCCTCCTCCTCCTCCCCCTCCCCTCGAAGAGGAGACAACGCCATAGACGTCAACTTTCGGCGCTCCGCGCGGGTTTCTTGCAGCAGCTGCCCCCTCCCCTCGAAGAGGAAGCGACGCCATAGACGTCAACTTTCGGCGCTCCGCGCGGGTTTCTTGTAGCAGCTGCCCCCTCCCTCGAAGAGGAAGCAACGCCATAGACATCAATTTTCGGCGCTCCGCGCGGATTTCTTGGACCCGCGCCGGGCCCCCCCGGCGGCGCCTCCGGCGCCGCGCCAGGGAGGGGGGGGGACCAGCGCAGATCCAAGGAATCCGCGCGGAGCGCCAAGAGAGGTTATGTTTATGTCGTTTCTTCAAGTTCTAGGGAAGCTGCCCCCTCCTGCGTGCTGGTCTGCGTGGAAGAGATCGCCCCCCGTTCTTTCGTCGCACTCCCCCGCGGGATCTCAGAAGCACCCGATGTGTGCTCGTCCGACTGTGTCCGGGTCCTCGGCCCAGTCTTCTCTTCCCGCCTCCTTTCTCATCCGCTCTCCCGCCCTCGCCAGTGGTGGGCACTGCGAGGCATGTGGCCCCGTGCCCGTGTCGGGCGCATGCGGGCACCAGGGCAAGTTGGTGCCATGAAAAGGGGGGCAAGGAAGGAGGACGACAGGGGGGACGGCGGCGAGGGGGGGAAGGGCAGCCTTCGGCCGAGGAAGCGAAGGCATGGATTCAGCCAAAACGCGGATCGGCGGCGGGTCTCGCTTCCGGGCGGCATCGGCGCGCTCCGTCGCCACGGAGAGGGCGGCGTTTGTCTCGCGTTCGCGGGGGGCCTCTCCCGATCCGTGGATCCGGCGCCCACGCGCAAGATCCACTGATCCCTACACCTTAGGCGATGCTTAAGAAAACCCAAGTTTTCGGCCAGAGTCTCGATTATTCTTAATGTTTCAATGTAAATCCCAAGAGTTTTAATAGAAATGTTGGGTTTTTATTCAAGTTCTGAGACTATGAGTTTCTTAACCCATGATTTCTTAAGCATTTCGCAGGTTGTATGCAGGCGTGCGCCCGACTCGAGAGGAGAGGAGATGGGAGACCCGCCGCGGTCGGGGCTGGCGCGCCTCATTTTCTCCTCTTCTCTGCCTTGTCTTGCTTGCCCTGCCTGTCCGCTTTGTGTGTGTGTGTGTGTCTCTCTCTCTCTCTCTCTTTCTCTCTCTGTCGTTCGTGCTCCCCTCGGCAGCCTGCTCGCCTCGTCGTCCCTCGTTCTGGTGGTCGTCTTTGCCCTCGCATTCGTCTCCTTCTGGTGTCTGCGTCCTTCTTTCCTGCTTCTCCTCTTCTGTTTGTCATCCTCACCCCAGCCCTTAGCCACGCGCATGTGGTGTTTGGGGGAGGGGGGGACGCTTCGATAAAGCACCCCTGCTTCAAAAGGCGCGGGCCTTGTCTGTAGAGGAGCCTTTTAAGAAGCAGCCTTCATCTAATAATAGAAGCGAATGGAATCCTTCCCCCCTTCCCCATTCCCCCTTGGGCGCGCCGCCAACTCCCCCCCACCCTACCCCCCATCCCCCCCATGCCTCATCCTCCGTGCCTCCCCCCCCCCGCCCCTCTGCTCGTCCACCTCCCCTCTCTCCCGCCTGCTCCTCCGATTTCTGTCCCCCTCCTTCTCGTCCCTCCCCTCCTCATGCCTCCCACACCCTGCCAATTCCTTCACCAGATTCGCCCTCCCCCGCACAGGCTTCCCTCCCCGCGGCAGGTTTTGGTTTTGCTTGCCGTGGTCTGTCTGGTGAGCTCTGAGGGTGCACCGTAACCCATCCCCCTTTCACTCGGAGCGCTGTCGGGCAGCTTGGCGGTACTTCCATACCAATTATGCCTGTTCGCACTTCCTTCCCCGCATCCTCCTGAGATCCCCCTTCCCCTTGTCATCAGAGGAAGGGGACAGGGTGAATGGGGGAGAGGAGGAGGAGGAGGAGGAGGAGGAGGAGGAGGAGGAGGAGGAGGAGGAGGAGGAAGAGGAAGAGGAAGAACAGCAGCATTAAGAGGAGCAGGGCGAGAAGGAGGGGGAGGAGGAGGAGGAGGAGGAGGAAGAGGAGGAGGAGGAGGAGGACTATAGTGTAGCGTTGGTGCCCTTAAGGGAAGACATAACTCTTTACGTGTCGGGCCATTTTGAGTCGGTGGTGGTAAAAGTGTGGAGGCCGTACCTTCTCTAATAGCCCTCGGTCTACCCCGCCACCGTGCCTGCGTTGTGAGTCTGAGGCTATTGGATGTTCGTTGGGATCCCGTCGAGGCCCCTCAGGAGCCCCCCAGAAACAGTTTTGACGCTTTTGGGGGGCTGTTTTGGTACCTCTCTTGGGCCTCCTCTGGGCCTCTTGGCGGCCTCAAGGGGTCTCTTGGGGCCCTCTTGGGGGCTCATGGGCGCCTTTTGGGGCGGAAGACTTGGATTCTCGGCTCGTGTTCCCCCTCTTGGGCCCCTCTTGGGTCCGTGGGGCCCTCTTGGGCCATCTCGGGCGCATCTTGGACTGTCTTTGGGGTCTCTTGGGCCGCCTTGGGGCCCTCTTTGGGGCCTGTTGAGCCGTCTTGGAGCGGTCTTGGGGGCCTCTTGTGATGTCATGGAGCGCTGGAGGCTCGAAAAGCGGATAACCCAAAAACGTATTGAAGACCTACGGGCAATCAATTATTTGGCGCCTCGGGTTTGGCACGGTTCTTGGAGCTCTCTTGGGGCGCCTCGACGGCGTCTTGAGCCGTTTTTGGAGCCATCTTGGGCGTCTTGAACCGATCGTACGGCGATCCGGGGCGCCTCTGGACCGTCTGGGCGGCATCCTGGGGCCCTCTTGGCCCGTTTGGGGGGCTTATTGGCATTCGAAAAGTCATGCGACAACGCTCGGGGGCGCCCAGAGGGCACGCCGGGAGCCCCGGGAGATTTGAGAGCAGCTAGGGGTCCGGGCCTTTTGGATACTCTTCGGGATAACTGGAGCTTAGGATTCGAGCAAGGCCCTAAGACACTCCAGCTCGTGCCGCGGGACACGGTGGCGAATATGGAGTGGTAATTTGTTTCCGTGCGATTGCACCCGAAGTGGTGACTGGCATGCGTCCGCCGCACGTTTTGGCAACCACCTCTGCCAGTGCAGGCATGGGAAAGCCTGGTGGTCATGCGAGTGATCGGGGGTAGATTGTCCAGTCCACTGAGGCATGTGGCTGTGGGATGTGATGATACGATCGTGAATGCGAAGGTGTAAACAGCGCCGCGAATGTGGTTCGACATTAGAAGTGGCCATTCCTACAACAAGCTGTACATGTTCGGCAGGGACGTCCTCCTGACAAGATGGCCCACTGGAGCAATAGCTTAAGAAGATAGGGTTGCAATCGAAGGACGACATGTTTGCACTCTTGGAAAATCGCATGGATCATGCGCTCGAGTTGAGAGAACAAAAAACGCGTTTTCTTGTCAGCTGATTAATGCCGAGGGGGCTCTGTGGCGCTTGCTTGAATGGCCTTGTCGAAGCGCATTTTGCTGCGAGACCTTGCGAGGATAAGCGGCAACGCAGAGCAAGGGGGGGAGAGGGCCCAGGAGGGGCCTGAGACGCTGAAAGTAATGCGAGGGCGAACGGGGGGCGCGCGCACGGCCACCAGCATTTTCCGCCGAGCTGTGCTCTTTGAGCGGGTCGATGGGGCTGGCGGGCCGACGCGGGCGCGCTGCGCGTTGAGAACAAGGGTTGCGGTGTAGCGCGGCTGCCGTCGAGGGCGGACCCTCGCGCGGGCGCGGATGCGGCGGGGCGGGGGAATCCACGAATGCAATAGCTACCGCGTTGGTAACCAGACGCCTTGGCGAAGTCGCACGCGAGCAAAACAAACCAGCCAGGCATTGACATAAGGCAAGCTGGCGAGGCCGCTGGCGTTGCTGCCGGGCTGCGCCCTGGAGGCAAGCGCCTCGCGCGGCGGTGGAATCGCAAGGGCGGATGTGCTCGCGAGTGCAAGAACTACCGTGGAGTTTTTTGTTTCTATGTATCTATATGTACATCTATATATGTATATATATACATACATATATGTACACATGTATACACGCATATAACTCGCAAGCATAAAACGAAACTACCGCACTTTCTACGCGAGGTTCAGCTCGTGCGCCCCGCTCGCCCACTTGCCCCATTTGCCGTTTGCCCCGTTTGTCGCGTTCGTTCCATTCGGGCGAGCGGGCGCGAGAGGGCGAGTGGAGCGAGCGGGGCGAGCGGAACAGGTGAAATGAGAGTCCGCGGCCCTTCTTCGCAGCAGGGCGGCTTGGTTCCAATGGGCAAGGGTCAACGCTTGCCAGACATCGCGCGCCCGACAGGCAGGCCCGCCGCGGCGGCGCCGCCGGAAGCAGAATTGTTTTTTTGTTGTTTGAGGCGGCGCTCTCTCGAGCAAAAGCCCCGCCCCCCCCCCCCGCGTCCGCGGCCAGCGCTGGCCTGAGCTTCTTTGTCATCGCGCGGGCCTGGCCCGGGGCGCTCGCGGCCCAGGCTCAGCTTGGCTGCCCCGGCCCCGGCCGCGCGTGGAGCCGCTATTCCCGCGCGGCTCCCGCGCCCCACGTGCGAGGGGCAGTCGCGATCCACGTCGCGGTATTCGCGCGGCGCTTGAACCGCGCCGGATTGCCGCGCGATGATCTGGCCGCGAAGTGCCGAGACATCGCCGTCATGAAGTCCGAGGTGAAGATGGGATTTCCCAGGAGACTACCAGTGAGATGGAGGCCGGCACGTTGGCAGCCAAACGGTTGACCACGTCCGAGCAGCCCGAGACCAACGCGCGGAACGACGACACCTGCGCGCAGGGGCTGGCGAG